TACTTGATAACTGGTAGTTATGGTACACTAGTTTTGTAGAGACTTGATAAGTGGTAGTTATGGTACACTAGTTTTGTAGATACTTGATAATTGTAGTTATGGTACACTAGTTTTGTAGAGACTTGGTAATTGGTAGTTATGGTGCACTAGTTTTGTAGATACTTGGTAATTGGTAGTTATGGTACACCAGTTTTGTAGATACTTGATAATTGGTAGTTATGGTATACTAGTTTTGTAGAGACTTGGTGATTAGTAGTTATGGCATACTAGTTTTGTAGAGACTTGGTAACTGGTAGTTATGGTACACTAGTTTTGTAGAGACTTGGTGATTAGTAATTATGGTACACTAGTTTTGTAGATACTTGATAACTGGTAGTTATAGTACACTAGTTTTGTAGATACTTGGTAACTGGTAGTTATGGTACACTAGTTTTGTAGATACTTGGTAATTGGTAGTTATGGTACACTAGTTTTGTAGAGAATTGATAATTGGTAGTTATGGTACACTAGTTTTGTAGATACTTGATAATTGGTAGTTATGGTACACTAGTTTTGTAGAGAATTGGTAATTGGTAGTTATGGTACACTAGTTTTGTAGATACTTGATAAGTGGTAGTTATGGTACACTAGTTTTGTAGATACTTGGTGATTAGTAGTTATGGTATACTAGTTTAGTAGATACTTGGTGATTAGTAGTTACGGTATACTAGTTTTGTAGATACTTGGTAATTGGTAGTTATGGTACACTAGTTTTGTAGATATGTGATAATTGGTAGTTATGGGACACTAGTTTTGTAGATACTTGATAATTGCTAGTTATGGTATACTAGTTTTGTAGATATGTGATAATTGGTAGTTATGGTACACTAGTTTTGTAGATACTTGACAATTGGTAGTTATGGTGCACTAGTTTTGTAGAGACTTGGTAACTGGTAGTTATGGTACACTATTTTTGTAGATACTTGGTGATTAGTAGTTATGTACACTAGTTTTGTAGATACTTGATAATTGATAGTTATGGTACACTAGTTTTGTAGATACTTGATAACTGGTAGTTATGGTACACTAGTTTTGTAGCTACTTGATAATTGGTAGTTATGGTACACTAGTTTTGTAGCTACTTGATAATTGGTAGTTATGGTACACTAGTTTTGTAGAGACTTGGTAATTGGTAGTTATGGTACACTAGTTTTGTAGATACTTGATAATTGGTAGTTATGGTATACTAGTTTTGTAGAGACTTGGTGATTAGTAGTTATGGTATGCTAGTTTTGTAGAGACTTGGTAACTGATAGTTATGGTACACTAGTTTTGTAGAGACTTGGTGATTAGTAATTATGGTACACTAGTTTTGTAGAGACTTGGTAATTGGTAGTTATGGTACACTAGTTTTGTAGATACTTGTTAATTAGTAGTTATGGTACACTAGTTTTGTAGATACTTGATAATTAGTAGTTATGGTACACTAGTTTTGTAGATACTTGATAATTGGTAGTTATGGTACACTAGTTTTGTAGAGACTTGGTAATTGGTAGTTATGGTACACTAGTTTTGTAGATACTTGATAATTGGTAGTTATGGTACACTAGTTTTGTAGATATTTGGTAACTGGTAGTTATGGTACACTAGTTTTGTAGATACTTGTTAATTAGTAGTTATGGTACACTAGTTTTGTAGATACTTGGTAACTGGTAGTTATGTTACACTAGTTTTGTAGAGAATTGGTAATTGGTAGTTATGGTACACTAGTTTTGTAGATACTTGATAATTGGTAGCTATGGTACACTAGTTTTGTAGAGAATTGGTGATTAGTAGTTATGGTACACTAGTTTTGTAGATACTTGGTAATTGGTAGTTATGGTACACTAGTTTTGTAGAGACTTGGTAATTGGTAGTTATGGTATACTAGTTTTGTAGAGACTTGGTAATTGGTAGTTATGGTACACTAGTTTTGTAGATACTCGGTAACTGGTAGTTATGGTATACTAGTTTAGTAGATACTTGGTAATTAGTAGTTATGGTACACTAGTTTAGTAGATACTTGATAATTGATACTTATGATACACTAGTTTTGTAGATACTTCATAATTGGTACTTATGGTATACTAGTTTTGTAGATACTTGATAATTGGTAGTTATGGTACCTGTAGTTATGGTATACTAGTTTTGTAGAGACTTGGTAATTGGTAGCTATGGTACACTAGTTTTGTAGATACTTGGTAACTGGTAGTTATAGTACACTAGTTTTGTAGATACTTGGTAATTGGTAGTTATGGTACACTGGTTTTACTAGTTTTGTAGATACTTGGTAACTGGTAGTTATGGCACACTAATTTAGTATATACTTGGTAATTAGTAGTTGTGGTACACTAGTTTTGTAGATACTTGGTGATTAGTAGTTATGTTATACTAGTTTAGTAGATACTTGGTGATTAGTAGTTAATTGTATACTAGTTTTGTAGATACTTGGTAATTGGTAGTTATGGTACACTAGTTTTGTAGATACTTGGTAACTGGTAGTTATAGTACACTAGTTTTGTAGATACTTGGTAATTGGTAGTTATGGTACACTGGTTTTGTAGATACTTGGTAACTGGTAGTTATAGTACACTAGTTTTGTAGAAATTTGGTGATTAGTAGTTACGGTA